AAAGATCCGTTCTTTATAGGACATATCAGGGCACATACAGGATTGCCTGGAGCCCTTAGTTTGGGCAGTGATTTAGCAGATAAAACTACACATGACATACATATTTTCTCTACACTAGAAGAAGCTACAAACTTTCATAAAAAGTTCCATGTCAATGCTAATACTTTACAAAAGCGTTTTAAAATAACTAAGGAATGAGCTAGACAAATAATAAAACAATGTCAAAATTGTGTGACCTTTTTACCACAAGTTAAACTTGGAGTCAATCCTAGAGGACTGATACCTAACCATATTTGGCAGATGGACGTCACACCCTTGCCACAATTTGGAAAATTAAAATATTTGCATGTTACAGTTGATACTTCTTCTGGATTTTTGATGGCTCCCTTCATGCCGGAGAAAAAACTAAAGATATTATAGCTCATTGCTTACAAAATTTTGCCACTGTGGGCGTTCCAAAACAGTTAAAAACAGATAATGCCCCTGGTTATCCTTCTACCTCTTTTAAACAATTTTGCTCATCATTTGGCATTAATCATATAACAGGAATCCCATACAATCCACAGGGACAAGGCATAGTTGAAAGAGCTCATCAAACTATTAAAATGTACTTATTAAAGAAAAAAGAGGGAATTGGGAAGGGGTATATATTCCCCAAAGATAAACTTAAAATAACTCTTTTTACTCTAAATTTTTTAAATTTGGATTCACCAGGGCTTAGTGCTGCGGAAAGGCATATGTGTCCAAAAAATTTACATAAGCCCAAGGTACTTTGGAAGGATATTCTCACAGGACAATGGAAAGGTCCTGACCCAGTAATTGTCTGGAGTCGGGAGTCTGTTTGTGTGTTTCCACAGGGAGAACAGCAGCCAATTTGGATTCCAGAAAGATTAACTAAAGCGATTTCTACAGACCAAAAAAGAAGATGATTTGGCTCAAATCCATAACAACTGATATCCAAAACTCCAGTTTGGCTATTCTTACACCTGCGACAGATCCAGGATGCTTTTTTCAATATCTATTTTATTATTACCCTTTCCCACATCATGAAGTTCTATTTTGTTTTTGAGCTCATACAGACCTAGGTTAATGTTTTGCTGATCAGTTCTATTTTTTGACTATAGAGTTTTTAAACATTGCAATGGAGATTTCACCTGTAAAAAGTTATAAGGCCTTTACTATTATGTTATGTGTTGTGTGCACACTTGTGTTTTATGTTGTATGTTTGTATGTACGTATGTCCATTTATCATATATGATGAGCGCTCATGAAAAAATGGATCCAAATATATTTTTTTTATTCACATGATTTAAATGGTTTAATTTAAATTGGGTAAACAGCTGTTGAGGATTGTTTTAATATGTGAACAAAAAAGGAGGTTAACAGATCTGTTTACTTTCACCTTTCCTTTTCATTATATTTAATAATTCTGTTCAAGATAATGTAAATTATTAAGAAAATTATTTTCTTTTAGTGCCTTCTGGAATGTTACATAATTTTTTTCTTTAGCCATTATTGCCAGAATTCCTATCTTCATCCCAGTGCCGGTGAAGACAAAAATAAAACCAATCTACAGCTTCTGCAATAGCCATCACTGAACTGCTTGCAGAACTTGCCTGGACTATATATCACTTGTATGCATTGTGAACTCACTTGTATGCATTGTGAACTATCTGTTGGTGCAGCAACTTGTGGTAGTGTTGGGGTATTTTTGCTGATGGTGTCATCCGTGGTACAATTTTTCCAAAATGAGCCGTCAATTGGCTTGGTGTATCTTTCTCCCTTCTGCTTGTCATGGTCATTCAGCTAAAATTTGGGGGCCAACAGAGGTGAGGCAAAGAACCTCACCCCCTGCTGGTACAAAGACCTATCCACAGGTGTGGCTGTATACTGGACTTGTAGTCAATGACGGGTAAGATCCAATTGCAATGGTACCAACCTAGAACAGGAGGCTGACGCCTTGAGGTCAGCTCATCCTATAAAGGATAAGGACCATATGTACTATTGGACAACTTAAGGCAGGCATGGTCCCTAAGCCACATGTTTGTTGTTTATACAGAGAGGGGGAGATGTTGAGAGCCACAGCTGAAGGGGCCCCAGCAAACTTCCAGCTGCCAGCAAACTTCCAGCTGCCAGCTGATGATTGGCTCACAGTGGCCCCAGCAAACTTCTAGCTGCCAACTGATTGTCTCCTCTGCGGTGATGCTCATTGGGATGTTTCCCCGCCCTTTCAGACCATGGAGCTGCTCATTGGGGGACTTTTTTTGGCTCTGCCCACACGACCCAGCCAATCAGCCTCAAGAGCAGGAGGAGTGGGGGAGGTGGAGAGGCTTGTGGGAAGCCGGTGGTGGCAGTTGGGCTCTGAAGGTTTTTCCTGAGGAGCTGTGTGGTTTGGTGTGTGTGTTCTAAAAATAAAGTTTGTTTCTTTTGACAAGTGGCTACTGAATTGTGCCCAGCCAGACTGCGGCACTCCTTTATTGCCTGAACTCCTGCAAATGCCACCCATGCGGCCCTTCCAGGAACACGACACACCAACCTGAACTGCCTGCACCGGACCAACATGAACTCCCCAGGAATCCCCAAGAGAGCTCAACTGGAACTCAACGGAACTCTGTGAGAACTCAAAAGTATACACAGCTTAACTTAATTATCATCATCTTAATGGCTCGCTGGCATCACCTCTCAACCACTACTTCTGGCAAAAATGCCAGGGGCCATTCCAACTTGGCTGTGGCTCTCAACACAGAATATTAAGATCACACAGAAAACTTATGGCTCACCACTCTCCATTCCTACTTCATGTTTCAAAAGTATGGAACTGCTTCAAAGTTCCCTAAGATACTAGCATCTTATTCCTGTCTGAAGTTATGCATATATTTCTTTTTCCCCTTGTAATGTTCTGTCCTCTCTTCCTGGGTTACTTCTTAACTTTGAAATCTTCAGTCTGTGTCTCCTCCATCAGGAAGCTCACCTTCCTTATGCTGAAAACCTCCACTGTTTTTATGTGGGAGCTTCCCAGATAACAGGTATATATTTCAAATTACACTTTCTAGTTCATGGTACCATATTGAAAATTATTTTAAAAGCTATACTCTTCCTAGTGAGTAAACTTCATATCTGTCTGGTTAGAGGATATTCTTTCTTTCTTTCTTTCTTTCTTTCTTTCTTTCTTTCTTTCTTTCTTTCTTTCTTTCTTCCTTTCTTTCTTTCTTTCTTTCCTTCTTTCTTTATTTCTATCACTGTGTTCCCATGACCTCATACATTCCCTGACCCATAGTAGTTGTTTAGGAAATATTGGATGAATTTAAAAATTAAATGATGGATATTGCTTCATCTCAATGAGAGAATTATATTTTATTTAAAATCCAAAATATATTTATTAAAAATCAAAATTTAACAGAGAATTTAATGTCCTAACCATGATTCCCCCTCCATCTTTCCAGTTCCCTTTAACTTAAATAAGAACCTGGTTTATGCATGCAGTTTCTACTAGCTGAGGAGTCAGTGTAATAGAAATGCATTAATGCAAGCGGGATTTGCCTAGACATCAATAAACTCAAAAGGCTCCCTGTGGGCTACTTGTAGTGTCAATAAAGGCTAGTAATTACTTGCTCCTTTGAGCATTTTAGATCCAACCCCTTAGTTCATTCTATTGCACAGAAGCAGCTGTAGAACTCAGAGATTCTTAACTTCCTAAACCCTGGGTGGAGAATGGCAAGCACTGGCTGAAACTTCCTCAGGTTTTAAGAGTCCCCTGCCCCCATCTTATTCCTTCCACCTCACTGCCCTCCCCCACTTGCTAAGCAAGACCTCCACCACAGATCTATATCCCTAAGACCTGGAAATTTTAAATAAGATGATGGTTATTGTTATTTCAAGCTGCCTGGGAAGGAGTAACTTAGAACATCCTCTCTTACCCCTTGCTGGTAAAGTAGTGGTGGTGGGCCTCACCATTTCCAGTCAGGGAAACATGTAAATTCTAATGACCAAGAATGACCTGCATCTGCCTGACAATACAATAGAATAAGGAAAATGGTAGGAAGGCGAACAGGGTGAAAACCAGAGATCAAATAATTACCAATGAGACCTTCAGAGAGGATCTTGCCCTTCCTTCTTTCCTTCCTAGCTTTCCTCTTTCCTGAGACTGTGAATGTGTTTGTAGGTGTGCTTGATTTTAAGACAGATCCGTGGTAGCTACTTTTTTCTCAGATTCCTGTTTCTCCGCAATGAAGTTTAAGTGGTATTGGAGTTTCCTTGACTTCTTCGTGAGGAGTTTCCAAATGACAATGGGAGAGTCACATAAATATCTATAAAGTTTCTAATGACAGCTCTGTCATCACTTATTTCTTGAAGATCTTGAACCAGGGTCTTTGTCCACCACTTATTCTGAGTGAGCTAATTGAGTCGTTTGTATTTGTGATTTCTACATCGAGCTGTGCATGGAATAATAAGCGTCCGTCCTCCTTGTTCCTCTTTACTGCTCGGTTTCACACTACCTCAAAGGGTGTGTATTGCCAGTGCGAGTGTGTATGTTTAGCAAAGACGCTTGGAAGAAGCTATCCCTCTGGCAAATTTCCCCTCCCCGCCGCCCAGCTCTGTTCACAGCATTCCTGGGCGGGACGCTTTCCTAATCTGTTCTCTGTAAAGGTGCTCTCTCCATGTAAATACCAACACACTAGCCTCCGGGTCCAGAAAGCTGACGCTTTGGTGTCCTAGGATATAGTGCGCGTATGTCTGTGTGTGTGCGTGTGTGTGTGTGTGTGTGAGTATGTATGTGCACGAGAGCGCGCGCGCAGACGACCGTGAGCTTCCTCTCCAGGCACAGTGCAGACAGAGCCCGCGACATTACTATCCAAGCAGCCTCCAGCAACGCGAGGCAACTGCAGCCTCCGCCCACTCAGCCCAGTGATTGGCTGGTTTTGCTCATCATTTCCCTGCTAGCAAGAAGGAAGGGCCAGTGACGCCCCCGAACCCAGCTGCAGAAGCGGCCGCCACCTCCAATGCACAAGGTGTCACATCTGAAAAGAAACCTGAGCCCCAGGGAGGCAGGCGCTGAGCGACCCAGGCCGGGCTGGCGCTAACCGCGCGGGAGGGCTCCTGGCAGCGCTGGAGGACCAGAGGCAGCTCCGTCGCAGAGGACCTTAGCGACCTGATCCTAGGATCCCGGCTCCAGGCTCTCCTCGCATTTTTCAGACCCCCCCGCCCCCACCACCACCGGTCTAATTCTCCAAAACGGAGCCTTTATATCGAGAGAAGGTGCGGGAGCTGGGGCAACCAGGACTTTCGCGGGCACCCAAGATGCGCTCCATTAGGAAGAGGTGGACGATCTGCACTATAAGTCTGCTCCTGATCTTTTATAAGACAAAAGAAATAGCAAGAACTGAGGAGCACCAGGAGACGCAACTCATTGGGTAAATTCAAAGCTTCATTTCAGGATATGACCCAAAGTCAAACCATAAATGAAATGTGCATAGAGTGATGGTTGTGATACTGTGAGTATTTGAGCTTGTGTGTGGCTTTTCTCGTGATTTAAATAACAAAGGCTGTTGTTGAGGTGTGTGTGTGCTTCTCTACGCTGTTCCCAGTAGGAGTTCAACTTGCCCTGTACGGTAGTGACAATTGTTATCCTTGCCGGTTGTTCCGGTTGTTCCGTTGTTCGCACGCCAAAAGAGAAGTCACTGCAGAAGTGTCAACAAAGAACGTGCCCTTGTCCTTTTAATCCGTGGGCAAAACTCAAGGGAGATATCTTTATTCACCAAACGGTTGCCCTTCCTTCTTTCTCTGCCCGGTAAATCTAGGGAGATACTAGAGAAAGCTGGTTTTCTGAAAAGATGAAGTTTAAAGCCCACTAAGGAGGAAATCCGTCTTTTCTTTCTTTTTCTTTTTCTTCTCTTTTCTTTCCTTTTCTTTTTTCTTTTTTTTTTTTTTGACATTGGACAGATTTGTGCATTTTAATTTGAATTAGTAAATCCAGCACCACCACGTAAAACTCATAAGCGTTCTGGATAGAGTTTTAGAAGGAAACTGGGTACTTCATCTTAACAGGCAATATTTCTGTTATTTCTTTAGTTTGTCTCTAATTGAGTTCAGAATCTCCCCACCCCATTAAGTTCTCTAAATATCACACTTCCTTCCTCCCTCCTTCTGGGCTCTGTGCCTTTGAAGTTAACCCAGGGGGTGGTGCAACTTTGTGTTGGGGACATAGCTTGGAAGCGATTTTCTGAGGATGTGAACCTGGTTGTCAACTCTATTCAAAGTCTTGTTTCGGAAATCCTCCCTAGTCCGGAGGTGTCCACTGTGGGAAACTCTACTCTAGCAGAGATTCCCTTCTGGTTTTTATTTTCTCTGACACTATTGAAACGAAGAATGAGAACTTGCCTGTGTGTGTGTGTGTGTGTGTGTGTGTGTGTTTTGTATAGCACTGCCAGAATATACTTTTAAACTTCATGCAGCCCATTTAATATTCCTGTTCCTCCCTAACTAATGAGCATTTAAGAGCAAAACGCACATTTATCCTTACAGAAGGCATTGCTATTCTATAAAAACCGGGATAACAGTAGTACAGCCAAGAGAGACTGGAAAAAAAGAAAAGCAAATAAAGAATGGGCTGAATGGTTGTTATACATCAACAAATCTGTTCAGGATCTGTTCATTCGGGGAAAGAAAAAAAAATTAAATAAAAGAACCCTCTGAGATCCTTTACACAGGAGTGGGTGGTTTGAAAATTCAGTCATGACAGTTGTCAGAAAGGAGGACTTTGGTGTCTTAGGACTGGGCTGCAGGGTGAGCAATCTCTGGTGACCTGCGCTTGCCAGGCAGACAAAGAGGTCTTTAGCAAGGTGGTGATCCCGCGCGTGGGGGCTCTGATAATAGGAGGAGGCTGGAGTGTGAAGGTTGAGGCTCTTTGTTCCTTTCCACGTTGGTGGGCTCTGAAGATAAATCTGTGTGGAGACAAAGCGGCCAAGCCCAGCAAGGACTCTGAGGGTTTGGGACCTTGGGTGGCAACCCTGGAGAGCAGGAGTGGGAGGGGTGGATGTTGGAAGGGGGGCGCCAGATCCTAGGGAAGCATCCTTTCTGAGCCGCCCTAAACTGCAGGCGGGAAGAAGGAGCGCGCTATCAGTCCTTTTAGGGGAATTGACAGACCCATTACAGTTCATATGACACAGGAGACGTTTCTTCTGTGGCCCTTTACTGGATGCCTAGGGCAGTGGACCGAGCCTTGGGCGCTGAGGAAGAGGAGGCGGGCACCGGTGCAGCGGTTGGGCTAGCAGGACTGAGCTCTTCTCCGCACCCTTTCCAAGCAGAGCTGAGGGTTCAGTTCTTTGAGAAGGCATGGGGCGGGCACTTGAGTTAACCAAACAGGAAGAGTGGTGCGCATTGGATCTATCCCCAGTGAGCTAGCAGCCAGGGTAGGAGAATGAGCGAGAAAACGGGGGAAATCTGTTTTTGTAGGGATCAGATTCCCTTCGTTTAAAACAACAACAAAAAAAAATCACTTTCAGTGCTTGGCGGCAACCCAGTCGGTCCTCCTTAATTAAAACCTGCAATTTCAGTCCCTCGGGGCAAGGCAAAAAGCTGGCCGCAGGCGTCACTCTCATACTGCTGCCCCTAAGTGTCCGGGCTGCTGTGCCGCTTCGGGTTCCTGCCCCAGACATTGCTCTGAGCAATTCCAGAACGGTAGTTAGTGTCCCTGAGCGCCCATTGCCTTTTCCCCAGAATGAAACGTTCAGTAGAAAAGCTTGTGATACAAACTCGTGGTTTTCTTTCAAATCCCAAAGAGTGCTTCTGGTAGCGGAGTTGACTCATCAGACTAGCTAATAATGTCATTGACTCTTTCTACTCAAGCCTTGAGGCGAGGCCGGGCTTTATTTTATTTTTTTAAATGAGTTTAAACTAAACTGGATGTTGGTGCCAAAAGCTCAGATCAGTACTTAATTTCAAAGTGAAGTAACAGTCAGTTTCTGGCCTTTGGGGGGCACTGCGTCCCTTGCAGGTGGGCAGTAGTTGCAGTTACAGGACTCCCATAGCCCTTTAATATTACAACATCCCACCAAATATATACTTAGGTTTCCTGCTACCATTCCCCCGCCCCGCCACCCATAGGCAAGCATCTATTCGACCCCTTTCCTCTTTTAACGGAGTCCCATCTAGAGTTAATGTAGCATTACTCTCCTTGAGCAGTCATTCTCTGCAGAGGGAAAAAGAAGACCAGCACAACTTTTCGATTAAACATCCACGTTTTCATATTTCCAAAGGAACACTAGCAGTATGTTTTTAATAAGGAATTATTCTAGAATAGGTCAAGTGATAAAAGAACTTATGTGATTGATTAACTCAAAGAATTGCAAAGAACTTATGTGATTGTTATAACTTAATAAAGTTTAAGTCAAAAGGCATTGGTTATATTAGTATTCTAGTCTCGACAGGCTTCTACCCCGCCCCCGCCCCCACACCTTAATGGTACTGAAAGTTGTGGGGTAATATGACTCCCACAGTTAAAATACATGATATGCTCATTTAATGTGACAAAACTGTAACAAACTTTAATGTGATATAGATGTTTGATTGTCATACTTAAAACTTGCTACACATTATTTTCCTGGTTGACCACAAATGACACTTTAACTTATATTTCTTATCTGGAGATTTCCTTTATAATAGGCTTATTACTGAGGTTATATTACTAAGTTATCAAACATATTGTGAAATTGGTGATAAAATTGATGGTGAAGACAAGTATTCAGAGTATTACTATTGTCAGCCAAGGTAGTTTCAATTTATTCTAGGGTAGAATATACACTTGTAAATTAGGAATTCCAGAATTTGCACTTACTTCACATGTTACATTTGCAATTCTGCCAAAACCCATAAGCAATAAGTTAAAGTAGAACATCTCATCTTTATTTTCAGTTGTTTGGTACCTATGTAATAAATAAAAACCCCAAATTGCCTGCTGTTTGTGTTCAACCTTAGTTTGATGTGAGTTCTTTTCTTTTAAATGACTTTTAAAACTTTAAATTAGGGAGGAAGTTTAGCCTAGCCCTAAGGGAAAATATTCATTTTGAAACCAAGTTATGAAGAGTTTCATCAGGTTTGAATGTAGGGCTTTGGGGATCAAGTTTCCAGAAAAGAATTAAATCATATTTGCTATGAACTGCAGAACGAAAATGGATAAATTGTGGTGAAGCCTGGAAATTCATATCAAAAGAGAAAAAAAAAATATTTTAGATCCTAGGTAACAAAATAATGATTAGTTTCATCTTAGAGATGACTGTCTTCCTGGGTTTTTCTCAGTTATAAGCAAGAATAATGTATAATATATTTATCTGATGTGTTTTCTATTTTGCCTTTAAAAGCACATATTAAATATTTTGGTAGATAGTCCTATGCAAAACATGTTTGTGGTGCAGCTGTTCAAAAGTCATGTCCAATCTGGAATATGAAATAAGCAGTGGGTGGTGACATCCTTCATGCCTTACATTCACAGGAAGGAAGTCTTTTCTAAGACAGAATGCTACCAAGGCCACATGTGAAAAATCTCTTGGGACTTATTGAACTTTATACACAAAAAATTTGCCCTAGAATCTCAGACTACACTGAGCTTGGCCATCTCCCACATGAATTCTGTTGACTATAAGGGAAAAGTGTTACTACTTGTAGATTATCCCATTCAAATTTCTTTCCCAGTCATTAACATCTGATGTTTGGCCTATCATCAGTTAAATATACACAATTCAAACAGAGCAAGATGGTAACATTTTATTCATATACAACTAATCTAAACTTTTAAAATTGCTCCTGAAATTTTGGTGGTCCTGAAAAGGTTCCATGTAAGTAAGTACCTCCTAACAATCATTGTACAGATAAAAATGCATCCACATGTCAATGCAACAGTCTCCTATAGATGTAAAAAAGTGCAACCATGTGTATCTGTACTTCTATGAAGATAAGTTAGTATCAGAAATAATTATTATAATCATAGCAAACTATGTAGCATTATTCTTCTTGAGCAGTCATTCTCTGCAGAGGGCAACTAAGAAAGATGATATTGACAGGGTAATTGTTAATGAGGAAGATTGGAAAGATCCCTCCTTCCACAAAAAAAAAAAATGATAATTTATGCTTATGCTCTTAAAGGCACATCTTCAAAAATGTAAAAGTTAACTTCTGTACATGTTCACATTATCATTTACATGCAATTATTATCATTAAACATGCAATATGAAGACTGACTTCTGGGCCACGGAGTAGTGAAGAAAACACTCTTGTTTCTTTGCATCCTAAATGACCTCTGTAAAATGATTACTATTAGCCATGCTCAGGCATGCAAATGTATCATTTTCATCAGTAGGAGAGTTTAAATATTAATTTTTATAGAGTTCCAAATTTCACAAGGAGTGGCTTCATCTGATGCTTTGAGATGCTTCAAATTTAAACTACATGTTTAAAAAAGAATGCAAACCAAAATACCAAAGTATCAGCATCCAATTATGGAATTCATCCAACAGCTGTTACACAAGCAATGTTTCCATTGATAGTAGGAGAGGATTGCCTACATAATAAACACAAATTTAGACTTTGTGATTGAACAAATAGTCATGTTACTTTTTAACTATGCTTTTGAGATTCTAAGAAATTTTAAAAGTGACATGTAAATAAATAAATTTACATACTGAGTTGGCTATGTCTTTTTTTATGTTCCATAATAATTGGCTTTTTCTCTGAATTTGATACATATATAAAGTGCCAAGAGAATAGCATATTGAAAAATGAGTTGTTTAGCTATGTCTAAATGATATAACTGATAACAGAGCTGTCTCTCGCCATCATCATTACCTCCAGGTAATCAACATACCATGCCCCATGTGATACTAGCTGACAATACTGATTGAAAGGAGATAGTTTTTTTTTTTTTTTTTTTGACACAGCAGAAATTATCAAAAGTTATGCTTACTGATGGGTTTCTTCCTACTACAATCCCTGTCTTTCAACCATTACCTACTATCAGGAAATTATCTTATTGTTGAGAAAATATTTTGATACCAATTTTTTAAATTAGCATTTCAATAATGCTTTATAAATTACTTTTTAATACAGAGAACCATTTGTTTCTCACAGTTATTCTTGTAACATCTTTCATCATGCTTATACTTTCCTTCTAAACTGCAGAAAAAAATTATATCTAATTTTTCACCACTATGATTAATCAAATTAGGTATTGTGCATCTTAGACAGAATTCTAACTTTCATAAAACTGTCATTTTTGTTTTGTTTCAGGGATGGTGAATTGTGTTTGAGCCGATCACTTGTGAATAGTTCTGATAAAATCATTCGAAAGGCTGGAACGACAATCTTCCAGCACTCTGTGGAAGGTTGGAAAATCAATTCCTCTTTGGTCCTGGAGATAAGGTGAGTTTCTTTAATAAGGCACAATTTCACATCATGTTCTCAAATAGGTTGGGCTTGCAAACTAATATGAACACTTGATTTATAGTGTAAGTATGACTACTTAAACAAAAGAGTGATACAGCTATATTTAATGCTGTTCATTGAAGAACTTGAAACCATAAAATAAAATAATTAAATAGTCAAAAATTTAAAGGTAAATATGTAAGTTTCAAATATATATGTCTTTATATTAATGGAACATAGTAGTCAATAAGGTACAAGTACTTAATATGTTTAATTACTGAGGATGAAAATATATTTTGAGAATACTGATCTCTATTTAGACCTCATTTGATCCTGTGTTTTCTCATCAAGATGAAAATAGAGACTACTCAACTCCTATTTTGGTGATCATTAAAAATAGATCTGACTTTATCTTTTAAATGGTTACATCTGTATGAGTATAAAATGGATAAAAACCAGAAAATAAACTTCTAGATTTTGTTTTATTTTTTATAATACATGGTATTTTAGCCAAAATAGACTTGAAATCAAGCTTAGGGCCTACATGTATCCATTAAATTATTTTCTTCCATTATAATCCTGTTACTAGTAAGAAATATCCTAATTATGGATATTACTTCTCTTTATCTTTTCATTACATTTCTGTTAGATGAAGTCTAAATTAGAGTATTTCAGTAAATCATAACTCTCAAATTTCCAAAGAATACATCCTTTACATAATAAAACCACTGAATTTTTTTAGTATCAAATGTTTATTACACAATGGCTGAATATTAATGCAAATACTTTGTAAGTGTAGCTTGTTCATTAGAAGAAAATGGGTTGGTTTATCTACCTAGGTTTCTACCTACTCACTTCTTGGTTCCTAACTACACACAAGGTGGACCGTAAACAATGTTAGGGGAGAGTCAACTATCTTGAGAGTATGCCATTCATAGAATGCATTTCAGCAAAGACACTCACTGTAAGTTGAAGTATACTTGAAAGATGTCTGGAAGTTTAAAAAATGATGGCAGGGAAATGCAGAAAAAGTTAGGCTATTTTGTATTAAAGGTTTGGAGGTGACTGGAAAGGAAATAAGAATCAATCTACAGTACTGCCCAGTGATACAAGTTTGGTTGCTTTAGTTTAGGGGGAGCTTTGTATATTTTCTTGATCTACTATAAAATGAGGAGATTTGTAGAGACTAATGACTTTATTAATTAGTGCCCCCTGGTGAGATCATGGCTTTTAAGGACAATTTGTTTTCACTTGGTAGGGAAAGTAATTTCAAGCCAATATTAAAGATCAAGAGATTCCAAGCACCCGCATTCTTCCTGAGAGCTGTTTTGTAGAAGTGGTGAGGAACACGTTGTCTACAGCTTGACATATTTATGTCCTTGGCTCTGTTCTCTCATGATCCCTGCATACTGTTTTCCTTTCTGCCTCAGACGGCCAGCTCCTATTTGAATTTAGATACTCTGCAAGAAGTGAGATAATTATGAGAAATTAGGTAGCAGAAGACCATAAGACCAGATATAATTAAAAAGATTCATATTTCTTGGAGGCACATTGGAAAAAAACATAAATATGGTTAAATAAAAAGAAAGAAAAATGATTGATGAATAAGCATATCTGGAAAGAGAACTTTCATTGAATGGTTTAGCAAGAAGAAAGCCAACTAGGTTAGACTATACAAATCAGGTAAAGCAAAATAGTGAAAGAAAGTTAAGTAAAATAAGAAAATTATAATAGTTTAAATAACATATATAGCCAAGCTAAATAATGTTGGGTAAATTAAAATCTAGCAAGTGAATTAAAGAGTTGACACTGGTTTGATTAGTATATTCAGCTATGCCTTCCTAATTTCTATAAAAAGTGAATCTTATAAATGTTCATATGACACTATAGATTTTGTTCTTATCAAGATACTCAAGGTAAAGGTGTTAAACATAAACTGACCTAAGAAATACACTTATTGCAACTTTACAAATTCATGAGAGTTACATTTATATTTTTTGGGTTGCATTAGATGTTGTGAATGCATCTGTGAACTTTGTACTGAGAGATGATTTATTTGATTATATCCAATTCTTGTGGTTTGACTTTTTTCATATTTTTCTCATTTTTATATATCAAATAAATTCTAAAGAAATACAAATGCCAAATATAGATATGTAGAAATGTATGAGTTTAGTTAATTATGAGAAGAGATTAGGACTTCAACAATTTATAGAATATTTTAAATTCTTAGTATAATATATATCAAGTTTTCCAAACAAGTAAGACATATGGGTTAACTAAACATGATAGCAAATTTATATTTGCTTACCTGTCAAAAATAATTTGGTAGTGCATGCATATGTTTGCTTTAGGAAAAGGATTATACTATCTATTTCCTAGTTTTCATATTGAGTGATCTGTATAGGTAATTGTAGGTCATGAAGCTTATTAGTAACAAAGTAAAGACTCAAATTCTATCTTGTCTGACAGGTTCATATTGAACCAGTCTTGTTATAAAACAAATTTCTAGGAAGTTTATGTTTTGATAATAAAAATATGAACAATTAGCATGCATATTTATGGACAATATCATGGCACTTTTTGTGCTGAAATAATAGAATATTATTTACCCAATATTCTGTGTCAAGTGTCAAAACATGGTCTAGTGTATAAATTAAATGAAAATGCTTTTCTTCAAGGTTTTGGGGACAATTTTGCATTTTATTTGGTTATAATTGTTTAGAATATTTCTTTTGATACTGGAGTATCTTCCCTATAACAGCTAGACCTTAAGTTCAGAAGTATCAACTATTTACAGAATGTTCTTTTAGACCTCTGAGGCAAATTTTGTGGTAGAAATAATTCTTTGAAAAAATGTGTGTTCTAATTATTTTTGTAGGCATAATAAACCATTAATCCTTTTTTTAAGGTTTTTTTTATCTTTTTACTGAACTGTTGCATTACTGATTGAATTCATTCAGTGATTTTTATTTGGGGGGCTGGTATGCATGGAGTCACTGGATAGAGTATACAAAAACTGATTCTTGACATATGTATTATGATATATAATATATATTATTTTCAACTTGTGATGTGTTCCATCTGAAAGTTTTGTCACAAAATACTTTCTGATTGTTTTATGCCATTTATTCTAAGTTTTAGATGCTAGAGCATGCATGGTTGTTGACAAGAAACCTACAGAAAAAAAAAAAGAATGGCATCTGGTGATAGGTTAGCTATATTTAACATTTCACAAGTGAAAACAAGGTTTAGTAAATTAATGCTCCAGAACTCTGCAGCTGCTATTTCAATGATGGGTGATGCTGAAAGGGAAGTTCTAGTTGAAAATTCAGTTGAAAAGTTTCAGTATAGAATCTATTCCTGTCAGTTTAACAGTCTAAACCAGCCCTTCATCTTAAGCCAACATTGCCTAACGAAAGATAGTTTTGATGACTAAGATTTTTAGTCCCACTGAAAGTGAAACATGGTTTCAGATTTTTTTCAGTTATCTTTAACATTAAAACAGTTGCTGAGTCTAGATGTTTACTTATCTAAAGAGGTTTCAAAAGTTTCGTAAGGATCACCAAATGACCACAGAAGACCTAAGAGGAATCTCCTGTTGTTCTTTGAAGGCCTCCACAGAAAGCACAACCCATGCTTTGAATACCTGATAGTAACTTGACCACATATTAGGAAAACTTGTACTGGTACAGCCTATAAAACATTTTCTTTTTTTTTTCTTTTTTTTTGATTCATGTTTCTTTAATGCTCAGATGTTAAATGAGTTTTCTTTTTTCTTTGCTCTGAAGTAATTTTGTTTACCCTGCTGTTAAACTCATATCATTTTTGTCTGAACAAAAGCATATATATCTCCTTGGTGATACTTAGAGTGCTGCTTCATTTACCTTAATACAAGAACTTTTAATGCTTCCAATGACATTTAGCTAATATATGTAAATACAAGTTTTATTTATTTATTTTTATTTCTCTTTTTTCTCCTCATATATTTATAGTCTGAACAACAACTAGACTTAGCAAATCCACAGAGCTTGTTATGGTCCATTGCATCTATAATCTAAAAGCCTTCAGCCTGCTACAGGGAAGAAATAAACTAACCTCTCCTGTTTCTGAAGAGTATTAAGCACTTAAGTCATGGTATTACTCACTCCTAGTGATTACTTTAGTCTTTCATACAGTTATATCAGGAATCTATATCAATTTTTTTTCTCTGCATTGCTTAAAACCCTAAAATAAAAATTAAAAGTTAATAAAAGTGTGGGTCAGTATAAGAACAAGCTGCAGTTATTTAAGATCTCCTTTCCTTTTTTTTTTTTTTTTTTTTTTTTGGTTTAAAAAGTTCAATTCTACACCCAGAAAAAAATTGTTTTGAATTTTATCTAAGCAACTTTTACATGTTTATTCTTTGATTAATCTACATGAATTGAGTTTTCATTGCTTTGAAAAGCACTTTCACTATTTTTACTGCTATCGTTAAGGGAATAAAACACTGATGATCCTATGATACAAATTGAAAGGATACATAATATATTACCATTTGTACTTAATATTTTTATCTCATTAAACACTCTTTTCTTCCAATTGTGAGTTAAAATAACATTTTAACTTTGCTCAACTCTTATAGTCTGATTTTTTGTATAATTTTTTTACAAAATGTTTTGTTTCCAATAAAACAAAGATGTTTAATTATACTTAATAATTTAGAAGATGTGTACAGTTTTTTTGCTAATTTTTTTATTACATGGAAAATGTACCAATATTGGAAAGTCCCTCTCTCTACTACTTGATAGATATGTGTCAACTTTTTTGATTCAATAAAAAGAATTTTCCCTTTTGGATTTCCATGATAAAGAATTTCATGTCTGAACTTCTAACCTACTCAACTCAAGCTTGCAAACATGTCAGTACTTGTGAGACTACATCTTCAAGTACATCTACAGCAACCTACTTAAGTATGTTCAAAGGAAAATGATAGCATCACCTAGTTAGATGATTTCCCCACATCCGTGCAGTCTTTATTTTAGAGGCTGCCCTGTCTTTTTCACAGGAAATGAGAACATTTTTGTTGAAATCCAGGTGTCAAAGTATTTACTTACTTTTCCAAAAAGACAAATAAATGTTAGTTAATAAGTATGTATAAAAGCTTCTTTGTGATTTCACTTTTGGTGTTAGGTGCTAGTTGTTAACATATTTTTTTTATCACTTTGAAAATGCAAGTTTATAATACTCTCCAATATGCAACCTAGGAGTGAAATTTTCTGATACTTTCTTGTTAGTATATGCTTTGTAGTTCATGGATCAAATAATGTCAAATTATTGAAGACCAGGTTCATAATTTTTTTTTTGACAATAGAATATTCTAAAACATTTACTAGAGTCCTATAGTGATTTCTTCTAGTTAGTTTCAGGTATAAATAACTCTAAATATCTGCTGAGCCTGGTTCTTATGCTTTAACTCTCCTCTAATTCTTCTGAACTCTCTCTCCTTTTCCTCAATTTAATGATAGCCATCCTTACTTCACTTGAGTTTATAGTCTTACATGGAAAGGCAATACCCTTTGTGTTGTTGAGAGGTCTACAATTTATAGTCACATCTCTCACTAATTGGGATACAGAAACATTTGGGAGGTCCAAATTACTAGACTCTCATATATTTCAGAATACACACCCAGATACATTCCCTTTCATCTCAGCTTCCAACTTAGCTATGACTTAGCCTGACTTCATCTCTTTTAATGTTTTTCTAAAAGGAGAAACCAGCACAGTGCAACAAATACACTCTTTTTAATCAGTTTTCCAAGGACAACAAATTTATTAGATATAAGGCACAACTTTCAAATATGACAGGCAGATGATGCACTGTCTGCTCATGCCAAGGTTTGCTAATTTCTAGGAAGTGATCTGCATGCATTTTTTTCATTTTCTATCTTCTAAATATTTAGCAAATGCATATAATTTATGTTTGTATAACAGCTCACATTGTGACTAATTTATAGATTAGGTATTAGATGAGGAAACCTAATACAGTGGCCAAACAAATTGGAAGGGAAGTTTCTTTCTCTCTTATATGATCATGTCCATGATCCACTCATATCCCCCTTTTAGGAAACTTAACTCTTATGACCAAACCAAGCTGTACATGGAATTAAAAACTTGGAGATGTTCTGGATGACCATCCATGACATGTGAAAGTTTGAAGGTTCAATACTAAAAGACAGATGGGAGGAAAGGTCAATAAGGAAAAATAAGCTACCTCTGCCATATATAATCCAGTGCTATGTCAATTCATCTTCTCCTTTACCCATTTTACTTCCTGGGGTCCTGAGCTTAGAAGAAATTTTTCATATAAATTTGTGCTATTTTTCTTCAAATATTATAAAATACAAATGTCTTGGATAACTACATAAGTTTACTGTAAAGTTTATTCTTCTTAAGTATAATCTATGATTGCAATAAAAGTACATTCAAGTTATTTCTATTCTTCACAGCCAAACAACATTAAACAAAATAAATGACTATTTAGAAAAAACTAGTAGAATATTTCATTTTGTAAAATCAAGTGACAGCTGTATTTAATAGTTTGGTTTTTTTTAGCATATTTTGATGAATGAAGTATTTTTTTGCTCCACAAATGGGTGTATATACTATACATCTTTACAAAACCATTGTAAATTTCTGCATGAAGGATTTTAAGAAATGTACTCCACTTCCTATAAAATCTACTTAATTGGTTGGTTTGATTACCACTAATAATTTAAGGTTAGTAGTATACCTGTTGACATTTTCACATGTCACTTTGCAAATGATATAACCAGTTCTTGGATATGTTGTCATTAATGTTAAATCTTGCTTGTATTTCACATGCAGGAAGAATATTCTTCGTTTCTTAGATGCTGAACGAGATGTCTCAGTAGTCAAGAGCAGTTTTAAGCCTGGTGATGTCATTCACTATGTGCTTGACAGGCGCCGGACATTAAATATTTCTCACGATCTACATAGCCTCCTACCTGAAGTTTCGCCAATGAAAAACCGCAGGTTTAAGACTTGTGCAGTTGTTGGAAATTCTGGCATTCTGCTAGACAGTGAATGTGGAAAGGAGATTGACAGTCATGATTTTGTAATAAGGTGAGCTTCCTCATTTTACTTAAGAATAAAAAAATGATGAAAAGTTGGAATTTAATATTAATTATTACTGAGAACTCAAACATTTATCTAAAATATTATTTTGTGTATTGTATCCTAACCTATAATTACCTTGGATAGAATATTAAAATGACTGTACTCATTTTAAAATTCAATGAGGTGATCTCATTGTAGCAATGATTCACAACAGCTTGGGGAGACAGAAAGCAAGTAACCATTTTATTAAATTTAAAACTAACATAACAATGGTTTCTTAATCACTCATATTTGTATTCATTAGTTTTGTATAAGTTCATTTATTGATTATGAACATTGCTCTGCAGTGATGAGATAGATGTAAGCTATTTTTACTTTTTTATTTAGCGGATTCTAAGGATATAGTCATTATCAGGTTTATATTTGATATCCAAGAGAAATTGCTTCTTATTCATTATTTGCAGAATTTGTGTATGTTAGCATATTTTAGCTTTTGAGATTTCTCACATAATTGAACATGTCTGTTTGGTCTTCATTGGTGTTTATTAAATATTGGATGAATTATGGTTTACTTTTTATTAGCTGAAAAAAATAACAGTAGCAAAGTAATTATATTACATCATAACTAGTAATTTTTAATTTTAGCTTTTGAGATTTCTCACATAATTGAACATGTCTGTTTGGTCTTCATTGGTGTTTATTAAATATTGGATGAATTATGTTTACTTTTTATTAGCTGAAAAAATTAACAGTAGAAAAGTAATTATATTACATCATAACTATTAGTAATTTTTAATTTTCAGTTGTTATATCTGTATGGGTTTTGACTTGTTTTAGTTGTTTATAAAAATTATTGAGTGAGGGGCTGAGGTTTTGGCTCAGTGGTAGAGTGCTCACCTAGAACGTGCGAGGCCCTAGGTTCAATCCTCAGCACCACATAAAAATAAGTAAATAAAATTAAAGTATTGTGTCCAACTACAACTAAAAAATAAATATTTAAAAAAAAATTGAGTGACACACATACATATATATATATATTTAAATATGCAAGAGTGTGGTATAAAGATATATAGTAAAATATGCTGAGCTGACAAATTGACAAATATTTGAATCCCTTTAAAAATATGCTGTGAAAATATAACTCTTAAAAATTTATATTTTTACTTAAAATATAGTTATTAATTACATATGCATTGACCATAATTAGGCTACTACTTTAAAAAAAAAACAAAACAGTTGTAGCTGTGAAACAATCCCATTGAGCATTATCAGGTGAGCACAATTTACAATAACAAACATGGCTGTGAACATTTTATTTTATTGTCTTCTCTGTCGATTGCCTGGTCAGATACTGATTTGTAATGAGTTGGACCTTTAAACATATAAACTCTTAAATTGAGTGGACTCTGAGAAAAATTCCATCAACATGTAAATATGCAAAAAGAAATTGTTTACAAAAAGGAGAAAGAATTTTAGATGAGGAAATGAAAATGGAAGTAGAACAAATGAGTTTCAAACATACATGTCTTTGTGGTAAGTGACAAAAATGTAAGACTTCTAGATTTCTGAAATGAAGAAAATATCAGGGCAGCTAGAATAAAGAAGCAAAATTTTAAGGTACATTAGAAATTGTTGCAAAATAAAGAATGATATTTTAAAATGTGATTATTACTGGATGAAAATGCTCAAAATGTGGCTCACTTCTTGCTCCTGTGTCTCTTTAAGCTTTGACAATGAGGCCTAGCTAAGCTTTTAGATTCAACCCTACTTCTGACTCTAGAATGAAAACTCTTATTATCTGTGGGCAATGAGAAGGGCCTGATGGAAGTTATCCTTTAATATCAGTTTATTAATATTATTTTCTACTCAGACTCTTTTACTTCAATTTCTATTGGCTGGGTTCTTTGCATTATTCCAATTCAAAAATTACTGAGTTACCTTTTTTTTTTTTTTTGAGAGAGAGAGAGAGAGAGAATTTTTTAATATTTATTTTTTAGTTTTTTGGCAGACACAACAACATCTTTGTTTGTATGTGGTGCTGATGATTGAATCTGGGCTGCATGCATGCCAGGCGAGCGCACTACCTCTTGAGCCACATCCCCAGCCCAATTACCTATCTTTCATTTCATTAAATGTCTAGTGATTGGATTCCTATATTATGTCTGGAATGCCCTAAGAATCACCAGTAACTGTCCTTATTTTATAAGACAGTCTTTCATATTCATTTTTCCTGCATCTGTTTCCTAGAAACTATACATTCTGCACTGTAGCTCACTCTCCTGTAGTTGGCTTTGACCAATCTGTAGGTTTCGAGACTCTTGGGCCCTCATCCATTTGTAAATAAAATTCTGATTCCCTGAATCATACAGGCCATTTCTTTTATTCTAAAATTAAGGATTTTTTTTCTCTTTTGCTGGTAAACAGGAGCAGCAGGCTACCTGTTATCAAGGTCCTCTACTGTGGACAACTGCAGATTTATATCACTATTAAGCTACTCTGGGGGCTCCTCCAGCAAAATACTGAGGTTCTAGGCACTGGGATAATACAAACATATATATGTGTTTTTCCTTTAATTATCTAGTGTCTTCTTTCTAGGATTAAAAAACCCTATATTCTGCTTTAAATTAATAAACTCCACTCTAATTTTGAAATACTCTTTAATTATTCCTGCAACAATCATACTCCAGTAAATACTCACTACACCAATCTACTTGTTTTAACTCTACACTCTGTGGCTCCTGTGTCTTTAACCTACTAACTAGTGGGTGGATGTGAGGCTGTGTTGTTGATACCTGGGTAACCGGTCTCCATCAACACAGGACACAAGATGAATGCTTTAGAAGGACAAGGTGAAGAATACCTTTACCACTTCCTTTGTGGTAACCTCATTGAATCCACAGTGACATTTCAACATCACACTTTGTATGAAATATATATATACTTTGCCTTCTTTCAGACTCCATGAGTCTATTACTTATATAATCAAACTTTTAAAGGTAAAAATCTTTGCTTGCATAACTAACAAAAATAAAGTAGTATGAAAAAAAAAAACACTTTGAAAACTTCAATAATAATATTGAAATAGTTGATCAGCTAGTGTCTTTTCTTGCTAGGGGTTTCCAAAAGATTTCTCTTCCAAGAGAAAAAAAAGGCCTACCATGGACTAAAATGATAGTTACTATATATGAATATATGTCACAGGAAATACTTATAGTCTCAATTGATAGTAAACTTATTTTTGTAATTTGTAATAAGAGTTATGAAGACCACAGTTTATAAATAAACCATTAGCTTTATTAGAGTTTTAATATATACTTATGACTTTGGAATATTTTTGTACATTTTCATATGTATTTCTGCAAATCTACACTGTACTAGAACCTATATTACATTGTTAATGATTTTGTTATATAAATCTTAGCTTTATATGAAACTAGAAACTTTAGATCAGAGTAAAAGGTCAAGTGTAAAAAGGCATATTTGTGGGAAGTTAGCACTTAAATTATTATGATGTGGGAAATAGCTTATATGAATTTCTTTCCTGGTTTATATTCATATACACACCTGCACATCCCAGGCACATACAATATCTTTAGTTATTTTTATGTTAAATGTGCATGGAAGAAATTATAATTATCATTAAGATAGACTTGATCCTTTTCTCTGCTTAGTGTCATTGACAATATGTTAGCCAATTCTACAGATGTTACCTTCAAAATATATGCTGAATCTAATGATTTCTCATGAATTCTACTACTGCCCTAACACAACTCTTGCTTGGAACCTTGAAGTAGTCCATTAACTGATCATCCTGGTTGCATACTTGCCTGAAGCCAGAGTTTTCCTTGCCTGCATTATATGAAACAGTCTGCCACCATCATCATCTGTGACCTTCCACTTGACCTTTGGAACTTTTCCATTCCACGGTTACCACTTCATTGCTTGTCTCCTCAACTAAAATATAAGAGAAAAAAAAAATATTATTTGCATGGCTTCATTTTAGATTCAGTACCTGGAAAAGTACAGGACACATTTGTATATTTTATACCATTCCTTCTTCTTTATTTTTTTTTTTTTTTACTTTTTCACCATTCTTCAAAAATAGAATTTGAGATTTTCTAGAAAAAAGTGTACACTAAGGATATGTAGCCCAAGTTTTTTTCTGAGTTTTCTTTTTTATTGGTTCTTTTAGTTATACATGAAAGTAGATTCCATTTTAATATGATTGTACAAGCATAGCATATATCTTATTTTAATAGGACCCCATTCTTATAGGTGTACACAATGGTGAGATTCACTGTAATGTATTTATATATGTACATAGGAAAATTTTGTCAGATTAATTCCACTGTCTTTCCTATTCCCCTCTCCCTTCACCTCATTCCACTTTCTTAAAATATTGAACTTCTGTTCTTCCTCTCCTTACCCTTATTGTGGGTTAGCTTCCACATATCAGTGAAAACATTCAACCTTTGTTTTTTTAGGGATTATCTTATTTCAGTTGGCATGGTAATCTCCAGATCCATCCATTTACTGGCAAATGTCATAAAAATCATACACACACACACACACACACACACACACACACACACACATATACACATACTATATTCATTCATTTATTGAAGGGCACCTAGGTTGGAACCATAGCTTAGCTTTGTGAATTGTTCAGCTATAAACACTGATATGTTAGCATCACTGTAGTATGCTGATTTGAAAATATTTGGATACATACTGAGGAGTGGTAGAGCTGGTTCAAATTATGGTTCTACACCTAGTTTTTTGAGGAATTCCTACACTTCTTTGGGGACTACAAATTGGTGCTGATTTTTTCCAAGAAAAAAAATGTGACTTTCTAGAAAATATTTTTGAAAAAATGTTCATTTTTTGAAAAAAAAATCTATGCAGAAATACCATCCTCACTTTTAATAGCTAGTTGGGGAAATCACTCCTTTGGGTTTAATTTTATTATTTGTATTTTGGATCTGTATGATTATTTATTATAT